GGGGGGGAGCCCATTAGTGTGATCAATAAGCACTGATCCATAACCGGATAAAGAGAGACAACCGAACGAGCCAGAGAGAAAGGCGTGGAAATCTGCAGTCAAACGTGACATGTGCAGAGACAGATTATATAAATACAGACACTTACTGAAGATGGTCAGCCTCACACAGCACATCCTAAAAAAGGAATAGAACAAGTTTAAGGAGGAGGTGGCTGAGATCAGGCTGTAGATTCTCTGTAGACACAGGTATTTTTGTTTTCTACTGCAGAGTGTGTTAGTTTTTCCTTATTGTAATCTTTGTTGAATTCATAATTAAGTTTAAAATCTTTCTCCTCAAATACAAAATCTTGAATAATCAGGTCCTGTCAAATCTTAAAGACCTCATAGTACCCTATTATCCTGAGAGAGCTTACTTGTAGGTCCTAAAGTTTTCATAAGTAGAATGGGAGCAAGGCCTTCAGCTATCAGTCCCTTCTAATATAGAACTAGCTTTCAGATCAGGTGATCCTGAACCCTCACTTAGTTATGCTGATATAGGGTTATGTTCCTGAGGGCTTCCCATAATGCATTGAGCATTTCTTCTTCACGCATTTCTTTTCACTCTCAGTATTGTTTATACACTGCTTCTGCATTTAATCATTAGCAATTATTAAAACTCTCTCCTATAGTTTACCTTTTGTCCTGGGTCTCTCTGCTCGCTTCTTTTCCCCTAAACCCCAACCACTCACAGCAGAGGCTGTCCCTCCCTGAGCCTAGCTCTTCCAGAGGTTTCTTCCCGTTAAAATTGTGCTTTTTGTTTGTCACCATCACCAAGTGCTTGCTCAAAAAGGGCTGTGTGATTAATGAGGTTTCTTTGTAATACTGCAGGCTCTTTGCCTTACATTATAAAGCAGGTGACTCGAGGTGAGGTGACTGTTGTTGTGAATTGGAGCTACATATTAAAACTGCACTAAATTGAGCAATATGAGTGGTATTTCTCAGGGACAGGGTCCAAGATGTTTACAACATTTCATTGATAAAATACATGAATGCAAATATTTGACATACAGTTACATAAACATGCCAGTCTCAACAAACAGATGAACTGGTACTACAGGGCAGTTTTCTACTCTAACCCTCATTCCCCAACCGCTCGTAGCAGATGGCTGCCCTTCCCTGAATCTGGTTCTGCTGGAAGTTCCTTGCTGTTACAGGGGAGTTTTTCCTTCCCACTGCCACCAAGTGTTTGTTCATATCTGATTGTGGGGGTTTTCTCTCCATTAATGTAAGGTCTTTACCTTACAATATAAAGCATTGTGAGGCAACTATTGCTGTGATTTTCTGCTATGTAAATAAAACTGAATTGAAATTATATTGACTGCAGGCCTCATTTAATCTTTTTAATGCTCAAATGCTTTGATATAAATTCAAACTCTAGTGAATACATGAGGTGCAAATCATAGATACTTTGACACGCAGTTTGGAAGAGCTGGGGATCAGACCAACAACGTTCAAATTAGTAGACAACCTGCTGTAACTCCTGAGCCACAGCCACCCTTTTGTATGCAATAGTGCATCCTCGGGCACCTATAGACTATAGGTGCATTTTGTATATTTTCAATTTATTTTAATTGGTTTTGTATGTTGTATCAATTCAAATTGTTATTTCAGTTGATTATTTTTAGAGTGTTTTTAGTTAGTTAGATATAATAATGTTTTTTGTAGCAGACTCCTTAGTCTGTAAAATATGCAGTGTGATTCAAACATTTCTTGTTTTGTAATGTAAAATGAAACTTGAAGGTGTGGAACAGCTTTCAGCTTCAGTTTCCAAATATGAAAACTCCCCAAGCACCCTGTCGGAAAACCAGAACTTCACCCGCATTGTTTCATTTGAATTCCAATTGGCTGGATGAGGTCACATCACTTTCCAAAAACAACATAATTTCTATAACTATTCTTTACTATTTATATTCATAGGTGCTGGAGCCCGGCACGGGCTATATACCCGGGTTGGGTCACCATTTCATTACTGAGGACAGCTCAATAATAAACTATTGAGCTGTGGTAGACCTGTGCCAGAAACATAATCGATTTGTTCTGTGAGGCTGAACCAGGATGTTCCCCTTTGTACACGTACGTATATGTGAATTCAATAAAACAAATAAACCAAATGAGACCAGAATCTATACTGTTACAGCATGGAAAAAGGCAAAATTATGCAAGGCTCTGTGTGTGTGTGTCTGTGTTTGTCTATTAAGAACGACTGGATTCTACCTTCTGTATTACTCACACATTTTCCCATGAGGGAACTATGCAGATTTGTCTTTGTGATTGTATGTAGTTACGTCCCTTCAGGTCACAGAGCAAACAAAGAATCGAAACTGATATATCAAGGAGTGTCAAATGAATTTTCCCCTAAAAGCACTCAACGTCATTTGCTGCAATGCTGGAGAATGACTCAGCTTGCAATGCGCAGTGCTTGACACCATCCCACACGCCCTGTGACTCAGCAGCAGTGCCTCATTCTGCAACATTCTGTTCTTTTAATACAGATATCATTGATTTGATGCAGTGTAATGTGCGTCACACTTTGTTCTTCAGCAGCCCATCAAAAAAGACATGATTAATAATAAAAAAGAAAATAATTTTAGTATTATATATTTATATAATGCTGAATAGAAAGGTGCTGGCTTTCTAACTAGAGCTTTGGCTCATTAGGACCCTTATATCTTATCATTTGATTCACAAATCCATCCACTGAAGACCACTGGCTTCTCCATCACATTGTTCATGATGGATCTTACTAGTTATACTAGTTAACTTTAACTTCAAAATGAAAACACATACACATAGCAATGGTATTAGCAGGGTATAATATTTTAAAGGTGGTGAATAACATAACAGCTCATGATTGATTTGACTCTCTCTAAACTAATTTGTTTGTTGTCATTTTAGTGTATCAGCTTAAAGTGGACTTACCCTGTGCTGCTGAGAGTGCCCAGCATGTTGTGGCTGATGTCGACCACTCTGATCTGAGCTGTGGCTGGTAGCTGTGGAGGCTGTGTCCCTGGCCCTGGATGAATCTGATTTTGTGGATGAAGACTCAGATCCGACCCCTGCCTCTGCACCTTGGGCTGAAGTTGGAGGCGAGTTGCTCGGTTCTTGGTGACCAGAGTCTGGATAGGACTGTTGGTGGAAGTGCTGGTTATGTGGATGCTGGCTATGCTGCTGTTTTTGGTGGTGGTGGTGGTGGTGGTGGAGTTGTTTGGACTGACTGGTTTCAGGGCTGGTGCTAGTTTCATCGGTGAGGTGAGGGCCACCTCTGCCAAATCTGTCTCCTGATGTAGGCCTCCTGTCCTTACGGTTGCTTCCGTGCTGTGGGCTTTGGCTGGCAGAGTGCGGGTGGTGACGAGGCGGTGGGCTACCGTGGTGGTTCCTCATGGCATATGAAATCAGTTTGTCAGGATCGGAGCAGTCTGAGTGTTTTCGAGAACTACTAAAAGGTGCTTTCTCCTGTCTGCTGGCCAGTTTGGGATGCTGACCCGTCTTCTCCTCTGGGGCTTTTCTGTTTTTTTTTGGTGGGAGCTGAGGCTTAACTGGGTTAGATGTGGGGGCTGAGGCAGATGTTTTTGCAGGAGTTTTATTATTATTAACACCCAAGCTGGTGAGATACGATGGACTTATAACGCTCTTTGTAATCTCATCTAGAAACGCAGAGAACTGTAATTTCTCCTGCAGAAAATTGGCCCTGGCTTGCTCTGTATTAGCTTGAGTAATTTCTTTACCCTTCTGCCCAGGACGTTGTTCTTTAGCAACTCTTGGGGACAACACCTCCATTGATTTAGTCTTACGAATGTCAGTATCAGTCTCCTTCTTCTTGAGGATCCCTTTGCTGGGTAGCTGGTTTGAAGATACTGCTCTCTTGGGGGCACCGGAGACCCCTAAAAGAATGTTTTCCTCACTGAAAGCCAGACATCGGTTCAAACTAGCTGACTTATACAAAGGCCCATAGTTATTTTGCTTAGATTGTTCTCTTCCACCACTATCATTACTCTGAAAAAAGGCTTCATCGCTTCGACTGTGACCTCTGTCAAGAGCAGAAAAGCCAGTGTTCCCTCTTTGCTGTGAGCTTTCATGAAGCAGCTTGCCTTTTTTGCTGTGTTTGACGGTAGCGAAGACAATGGGCTCACTGCATTCATCTTCCCGGAAACCTATGCGCACATCTGGGATATTGGAGCAGGACAGAGAATGCTGTGGGCGCTCAGCATGGGAAAGAGTGAAAGGATCATTTGCGCTTGACTCTGTGTACCAGGAGGAAGAGGATGAGGATGAGAGGGAAGAAGAGGAAGCCCTTGAGAGAGTTACAGGGGTGTCATGGTCGTAAATGATCTCATCCTCTTCACTGTGGTGAAACTGACGGCGATAGTGAGCATCGTGGCGAGGGCTTTCATGGAGATAGTGACTGTGCTGATGGTGGCGAGGCTGTCCTCGGCTGTCATCTGTGTTCCTGTCAGTGTCATCAAACTTTGAGTACCTTCAAAACAGGGAAATTGTGTAAACTGACCATGTAAAAAGGGACTGTGCTTAGTATATTTTGTCTAAGGCTGCAGATGTTCGAGCTCAATAAACTTGCAGATTTAATCTTGCAAATAAATTTAGACTAAAACACAATTAGATATGTGTGGAAAAAGCCATCCTACCTGTGTGACTGAGTATCTTGGCTATGGTGAAGGTGATGGTGGCGATGATGGTGGATTTTCCGTGGCTTGAGCTCATCCAGCTCAGCTGGGCTCTGAACCGGTTTAAAATACTTCTCCATGACCTCTCGCTTTCCTGGTGGTAGTCTGTCGATGGGGTCCTGGTTGGGATGACTGCACTGGTGGCGCTGAGGGTGATCCGTGTTGGTACTCTGCTCTTTTTCCTCTGTAAAGCTACAACTTATCTCTCGATGTCAGTTACAAAGAACAATCTTACTGATGACTGCAATCATTCTGAAGATGAAAAATTACCAAAGCATGCAAATTAATTTCTAATCTAGCTAAAAAGAAGTTCAGTCCTTAAAAGTCTCTTTAGTAATTATATCTTCTGTTAAAGGACTTGCATGACTATGTTTGTCTTCCTCAGGGTCTGGCTGCAGACTAATGGAATCATGGCTTGTGTGCAGGACTGTATGAATTCCTAGGTGGTGTTTTGACTTTGCATCACTTCTGATGTGCTAACAGCTGGGTGCTCATTGAACAAACTGAAAGAGCATGACCTTTGTCCTCATTCACAGACAAATGAATCAAACCCTGTGGAACACAATCTATAACTGGGCTCATTTAAACCGCCAGTTTTTGTTCTTTTTTCTGCTTTTTTGCAGAATGGGATTTGTCCATATGTTTGTTCTGCCCTGTGGGCCAATTTCAGGCATCTATCCTATTACAAAGTACCAATATTTATTATTACTTTGTTTTCACTATCATTCTTTTTATAAATATACAAAAAGCACATCTAAGGATTAGATATCTAAGCTATTGAACTGCACAATGCTACCTCATTGATTTTAAGAGGTTTCCTGCAACCTTTCCACTGACTCCTTTGTAATTACATTCTCTAGGGATGAGCGGTATTGCAGGAAGTAGTGAGCAATTAGAAATTGTATCACACTATTTTTTATTGTGGCAGGCATCCACTTTAATTACTGTTGGTAATTTGGTTTGCTGTGTGTGACTGATGGGTTTTTCATCATCAGCTGCATTCCCCTTTATGTTCCTGTTCTTTATACAAAAGCTTGTTATTTGATTTTGTACAAACTCTGTTTCATCAAGATCAATATTGTGATCTAAAATGACACTGTTAGTTGAGGACTGACGTCTGCTCATTATAAAAATTTCACAGCTCATCCTCTAACACCCATATAACCTCCATTTCCACTGGCTTTCTGTTTATTTCCACAGTTTATTCTTCTGGGAGGGTCAGTCAAGTTAATCACATCAAGGTCCCGATCACCCTTTGGAAAAGCTTTGTTTTCCTTGATTATCACTTGAATGATAATGCAGGGGTTTTCAAATCGCTGCATTGCATTGACTGCACCCTTTGTAGCAACTCTGAAAGAGATCAATTCATTCGGATTCGGGAGGGGGCCTGAAAGTAGCCAGAGGACAGCTGCCCACTCTGGATTGTTGCTGATCAGTGGCTTGCCATCATAATAAACATAGCTGCTTAAGGGAAGTTGCCCAGACTTGATATAGCATTGATATAGTCAATGCTAAAAAGCAGTCCTGTTAATGTAAACACGTGTGAGGAACATGGTGATCCCATTGTTATCCGAGGTACGTGACTAACTGCACGCACCCTCTGCTGGTAAACATCGGGAACTACTGCTTGGATCTAGTAATTTTCCACCTTTCCTCCAGCAACACATTTTAAGGCTCTGGTTGTTTCTAGACGTTTCTGGATTTATCGCGTACACTTTTCAGCCTATAATAACATTAATGTCTGAATTAAAAATCAAGTTTAACATCGTACAAACTATGACGTGGAAATTCATGAACTGTGAAAGCACACTATACATTTGATTTAAAAAGAAAAGACTGTAAACACCATCAGCTTTTTACAGTAGCTTCTAAATCTTACACAAAAAGAAAATCTTTATTGTACATTGGACATCGAAGTTAAAGGAGATGAGCTAGCTGTTTTCTTTTGTTATTCAATCAAAAAAAAAAACAGCATGTCACTGCAGTAAAAAGCAAGTAGATCCGACAACTCCGCTACGTTCTAGTTTGATCCGGTTTGCGGGGCCTTGTTACAGCTAAAAAAATATTAGTCCGCGCACCATTTCCCGTGACGTCAGCTGTTGTGACCGTTAGTTTTTAGTAGGATTATTAAAAAGGTTAATTTTTTGTTACAGTATACCTCGCTGTTTTGTCACTCGTGTGTTGGCAAATGGTGAAATTAAGTTTAAATTAACCAGAAACACCCAAACAACGTGTTATTTGCAACGATTATTAGAAGGCTTCTAAGAATAGAAATCTGAATTATTTGTGCCTCATTACCGAATTCAACAGTACTGCGTTTATTCTCGGACACTGGTTCGTGTGTTATTTTCAATCTAAAGCTAAAATAAACAAATACATGGGTTTGTTTTTGTTTAAAAAAAGGGGACTACTTTAGCGGATGAGTACCACATTTTCTTGTAGCCGTATCACTATAACAATATAAATAGCGCTGGTGACGCTGTTGCAACTTACACCGCGCTGATGCTTTTCCGTCTTGTGGTTGGGCGTTGCAGGTTGACCGTATCTTGTTTTTTTTTTCTTCCTTTTTGATCTTTTGAAGTTCGGGTTTTATTTTCGAAGCTGTATAGCCTTGCTCTATCTAGTCTAATGTTTGCGACAAGTTTAATTTTAGCGTCTTGAGCATTATTGATCATTATTTTAATGCAAGTACTTTAAATCTCTAGATGTAACGTGTTTTCGGTTTGTTAAACGCTTTTTAGTACTGCTTTATTGCAAATGATTAAGATTGTAGAAGATAAACACAAATTCTACTGAGTCAGAAAAAAGGCCTGATTCTTTGTTTTTTTTTTGCCGAGGGCTGTTGAGCTAACGCTAGGCTTAGCCAGCCAAATGTATAAATTTGTGCTAGCATTGTCAGTTATTCCGCAACAGTTGTTTTTTTTTTTTAGCTGTCATGTTTAGCATTTGTCTAGCGGTGATCTTGCTTTTTAAAAATATATTCCAAGTAACCATTTTTGGTCATACTAACAGCAGTTGGCTCAAGATGGGAGCTGTAACGTAGAAACGTGTAAACGTCGTCTATTGGCTAATTCAATTAACGTCATGACGTAAGTAGACGGCAGTGGAAAAGGGAGTGGTCAGACTGACGGCCATTATCAGCCTTCACGTAGTGCTTTTCCAGAAGGTGTAGAAAGCTTTTAGCAACAAAATGGCAGAGGAACATTTTTCATACTTTTGAAATTGATAAGGCAGTGAAGTTAAGTGCCTAATTAGGTTCCTAAAGAGTACTGACTTTGCAATGTGGTCTCTAAGATTAGATCACAATGTAACTACAGTTGACTGAGTCTGTTAAATATTCGAAGATTCGTTTTTATTCCGAAGAAAGAAAATAAGGATGTCTTGTCGTGATCAGACGCAGATTATGAGAAGTGCTAGTAATTGTATTTAAAACGGAGGGTTTGCGTAAGCTCGGAGGTGCTATCGAACTACGATAGACTAGACCAGCCTGTGTTTATTTAAAAAAAAAAAAAACATATCAGGAACAGATTTAGTAACAACAGCGTCAAAGAAGCAATGAAGACGTTTTTATTTTTGTTTGATAGCTGTTACTTGGATGAGGTCCTTACCTCTGTCTTTTCACTCTTATCCCATTGATCGGGGAAGCATTTTGCAATGCGAAGTTTTTTTTATTTAATTTTTTTTTAATCGACATTTTCGCTCAGTTTCCATCAGTCATTAGACTTGAAGTTTCAAGCTATCAATTCTGCATTCAAAGAAAGAAGATAGCATAAGTCAAGTAATGCTGAAGAATGGAAGCTTATCTTAGAGCTCTAGTAGTAGCTCAAGCAATATCAAGTTCAGATTTATGGACTTCTTGAGAAGAAATTTAAAAAAAAAAAAAAAAAAGGTTCATCACTTAGAGAAGACAGAAGATTTTTTTTTTTTCTTGGGTGGGGGGGGAGATGGACTGAGTTATCACGGGGAGGAATGGACTTAGTTATTAGATGAAGATCGAAGGACGGCTTGGAGCGAGGTCGCGGGACACGGGGAGGACCACAGAGGAGCCAGCCAGGCAGGACAGGACCAGAGGGCGTGGGAGGACCAGTGTGGAGCCAGGCAGGACAGGACCAGAGGGCGTGGGAGGACCAGTGTGGAGCCAGGCAGGACAGGACCAGAGGGGCGTGGAGGGGAGGAGCAGAGGGGGCCAAGAGAGCAGGAAGCATCAGGAGCTGTCGGCCGCCAGAGGGAGCCAGAAACGCAGGGCAGTGTAGAAGCGCAGTGACCAGCCCCGATGCCGATCCAGTGCTGAGAGGGTGGGACAAGGGCGTGCAGACTTCTAGCGTCACAAGTTTAAAGCGGGGCTTTGGTTTGTATACTGGGTAGAGGTATTTCTGTAACACTCAGTATTTGGTTTTTGTACTTTCCAGAAACATCTGTTGTCGAACAACTTCTCGCACAGCTCTCTCTTCCTCTTTTCAGGCAAGCCGTGTAAAGTGTTTTGTACCGTGGTCACCCCTCCTGTTGTGCGCTGAAATGTGTGGTGGTGTCTGCTGTGATGAATGCCTTGGTAGTGTGCTGACGAGGAGCGTCTTAATGGACTTCTCTACCCCCCTGCGATCACAAGTAGTTTCCACAAGCGGAGGGAGAGGCAGTCCTTTTGTTGTTCGATAGGTCTTCCCCCCAGAGAAGTTTTCTGCATTGGAGTGTGAAAGTGGATGGTCTCCCATACGGCCAATTGTGTATTCGGCAACTCTTCGGTACTTCAGCTGCGCCTCTTTGGTACAGATCAGCTACATCTACCTCTTAAACCCAAGCTGTGAGTTAATGCATGGAATGTACATGTGGGTGTAACTATCCTGTACATTAACTCATCATTACATTTCATAAGTATACAGTAATGACTTCACTCAAAAGGGAATTTGCATTGAAATGGTAGTTGATCCTGGTGGGTAAATATTTTTGGCTTAAGGGGAGGGGGGATGGGGGGTTGTTAAAACTTGTTTGGAGTCTTTCTTTTTACAGGCCTGGCCCCCTAACGCGATCATCGACAGAATCCCCCCCCCCTTCTAGCTGCTTGGTACAAGTTGAGCTCATCCTATATACAGTAGTGATATGGATCGAGATCATGCGCATCCACTGTGCTTAAACGAGATATAGAAAGGTATTTGGTGTTCACTGACTCAATTAGTTTTCCTCTCACTTTTATTTGGAATATATTGTAAATGGGCTTCCATGAATTTATTTTTTTGGGAGGGGTGGGTTGTGGGGCGTTAATCCGTCTCTTCCTAGACTTCACAGCTCCACATTGCCCAGTGCACATGGCTTGAATAGGAAACATCCAGGCGCAAGCAACAAGATTCAACTGGACACTTAACAACGCAAGATAGCAACCTCAAAAGTAGTCTTCTGATGTAGTGAAGCTCCTTTCCCC